TCTTCCAGGTTTTTACCCTGATAACTGACTCCTGTTTTGTTTTTGTTTTTTTATTGATTGAAGTTAATTAGATTAACACTTCATAGATGTATTATGGTTACCAGACTAGGACTCTGGAACAGAAAAATGACACGAGAAAATTAGTGAAACCCAAATAAAGTCTGTAATAGTTAACATTATTCTGATACATTAAGGCACTAGGTTTGACAAGTGCATCATGGTCATGTAAGATGCTACTTAGGAAGCTGTATGAAGAAACTGTTGGTACCATCTTTGCAAATTTCCTGTAGATCTAAAATTAGACCAAGTAAACAGTTTTGAACACAAAGGCAAGCAATATGCAAAAATCACACACTTTATTGTATTTGAACATAACTGAATAACTTTAGGGATCAATGACCTTGTACAACTATCTTGTTTGACATAAAAATATTGAATAGCTGGGTGATGTGTCACACACCTTTATTCCCAGCACTCATGAGGCAGAGGCAGGTGGATCTCTGTGAATTTGAGGCCAGCCTGGTCTATAGTGCAAATTCCAGGACAGGCTCCAAAGCAACACAAGGAAACTCTGTCTTGAAAAACCAAAAGAAAAAATATTACTATATAGATGAAAAAGTCTCTATGGGACTATATGCCAAAGAGAGCCACAGTTGTGTTCAGGTCTTGGACAGCAGTACTGCAGCCAAGCAGGGGCCTTGATTCTTGGAAGACGCAAAGCTGCCCTCTGGGCCACAAGCAGCCACCTCGTTCTTCAGACTCCTCAGCACATCCCTTAGTTCTGTAAGGACATGGGTTGGAATGCCCGCTTGGGTGGCACTGACTTCAAACGAACTGCAAAAGGAGGAATAAAGCAGTATCATTTACCGTCCTAGTAGTCAACTTGACCCAAGGCCCAGTCACATCAGGACCAAACCTATCTGTGTAATTTTCCAACAGTCTGAAGTGTCCTTATTAGCTCACTAAATCCTGGTGATAACCTTCATCTTACTGAAGGGTAGCATAGAGCAGCTTCCCAAACCCTATCTCCAAGGAGTTACATATACCTTAAAGACCAGGATGCCCCTCCCCACCAAGCTCCCCAGTTCCTGACTACCTCCTGGGTGCACCCAGATCCATGCTAAACATGCTCACTCCTCCCTTTGACTTTTTACAGTTCTCACAACTGTGGGGGTAAGGACAGGTGGCTATAGGAGAGTCCTTTGGGCCTCTGTCTAAGGTAGGCTGTGGATGAGAGGATATAAATGAACTTGGGCAAAAACCCATAGCTTCCCTTGAAATCAGTACCACTGGGATCATGAGATGATGAAGAACACAGACTGTGGGTCACCTGGACAGTGTGCAGTCTTGGCTCCACCAGGCACCTGAGTGTGACTTTGGGCAAGTTACTCGGTACCTTGAGCAACTCATCTATAAAGTGGAGGTGACCATAATACCAAGGTCACAGCAATGGTAAAAAACTGACAGCAGAGCCGGAAAGTTGGCCCAGCCATTAAGAGCACTTGCTGCTTTTGCAGAGAAGTCAGGTCCAATCTCTATCACCCACATGGTGGTTTACAACCATCTGTAACTATAATTCCAGAGGATCCAATGCCCTCTTCTGACTTCCTCAAGCACCAGGCACACATGTGGTGCTCCATACATGGACACAAAACACTCACACACATAAAATAAAATTAAACAGAAAAAATATTTTAAATTAAAAAACAAAAAACCCTAGATGGCATATCCATGTCTGGAACCCAATGGGGGACTTTGTACCAACATGCTTCCTGCTTCCTTTTTTTATGGGGAGAAGATGTTGTATCTACTTTTATACTTTAATTCAGAGAGAGAGAGAGAGAGAGATTGAGAATGTACAACCTAGGAGCTGGATGAATGATGGGTACTGCTGCATCCGGCTTTTTATGTGCATTCCAGGAATCTAACTAGGATCCGCCACATGTATGTAGTTAGTTTTACTCACTGAACTATCTCCCAGGCCCACATGTTGTGCTGAGACATACAGTCCAGCCTGGCCCTAAACTCATTATATAGCTCAGGGTGACCTTAAATTCCTGATCTGCCATACCTGGCTTATTAGTGCTGGGCACTGGATCCAGGACTTCACACATTCTAAGATAAGCACTATGCCAACTAACCTATATCCCCAAAACTTTCCCCCAATCATCAGTTTTGTTGTCTGGGGACTAAAAGAGCCTTCAGAAGCCATGGAGGGCCATCTTAGGAGCAATTAAAAGTCCTTTAAACTTCCCCCAAGGAAGTCCCACCACTCCAACCTGCCAAACAGACATGTCAAAACCAGTCATATTATCTGAGGGCTAGGAGGTGGAGTCACAGGCAAAGCTTGTTCCGCACCTTCAGTCATTTTATAAATGTGTGTATCACAACCACAGCAGCACCTCTGTATAGCAGAGCAGGCCTGCCTTGCTCCCACGAAAGACAGCCTCCTGTTCCTTTGATTCCAACAGGCATTTAGAGATTCTAGACCCACATCTGACTGACAGCATCATGAGAAGACATTCCTTTTGCCTACCTCTCCTGGTCCATCTGAATAAATCAACAGCGAGTAGTTTTGGTGTGTTATTAGCACCTCTTTGGTTTTTAGCAACCCCCATTTTAGCCAGAAGCAAGCAAGCTTTAAGCTTAAGCAACCAAGGCAGACAAGACCAACTAATAGGAATTTAATAACACTATCATATGCATATTTTTCCTATAGTTACCATCCATTTTATAGCAACTAACAATGATCTCCATTTATGAAAGAAACATTTCCTATGTATATATGAAACTTCAAAAAGAAAAAGAAAAAGTCATGTGGTGGTTGGTGGCACACACCTTTAATCCCAGCACTTGGGAGGCAGAGGCAGGCAGATCTGAGTTTGAAGCCAGTCTGGTCTACAGAGTAAGTTTCAGGAAAACCAGGGCTACACCTCAAAAGCCTGTCTAGAAAAAGAAAGCAAAACAAAAACAACAACAACAAAAAGGAGAGTCCAAAGGACTAAGAAATCAGGTTTACATTAGTAAAAATGTAACAAGTTTTCTGATGCCCTGGCTGGCCCAGAGATGGGCTGCTCACTATGGTCTCATCAGTACAGCCAATGGTCATGTGAACAATTTAAATTAAATGGAATTAAAAATTTGCCTACTCATGCCAGATGTGTTGGCACACACCTTCAACTCCAGAACTTAGGAGGCAAGGCGGGTGGATCTTCCTGAACTAGAGTGAGTTCCAGAACAGCCAGGACTATGTTAGAGAGACTTTTTCAAAACACAAAAAAGGTTACATACTCAGTCACAGTAGCCACATTTACATATTCAACAGACACATGGTAAATGATGCTGTGTTAATAGCGTGGCCAAGAACTTGTCCATCACCACTTGTCTACTGGGCAGCACTAGGGAGAAGGCCACTCAACTCAAATGTTACTCACCTGGCAACTGCTTCTTCCGAGGCAGTGGTCTTTTGATAGACATGGCCGAGGGGCATCCTAAGGGAGCAGGCCTCTTAGATGGGCCTACTTGAAGCAAGGGAGGGGGAAACAGGCCTTTGGGGTTGACCAGTCCTGCAGAGAATGAAAGCCAAAGCATAAATAGGAGGCAACTGAGTGACTTTCCTTAATCTTTAGAAAGCGCCTAAGCGAGGAGCAATCTGAACTCACACCAGGCTCCCACTTCTCAGAATAGGATAGTTTCTTAGTGGTCCTGTCTAGGGTTAGGCAAACTAGAGACCAGGATCCAATCAGGTCCCTTGTCTGGGGATGGCCATCAAGCTAAGGATATCTCTCCTAACCCTTAATTTGTGTGATTTGTTTTGTTTTGTGTATTTTTGAGACAAGATCTGGTTATGTAGTCTAGGCTTGCCTTGGACCACCTGGCCCAGCAGTTTTAATATTTTAAACCACTATTCAAATATACATACAATAACCCGAATATTGCTTCTTGTCTCCAAATCCTAAATATTTACCAAATAAACCTTCAAAAGGAAGCTTGAAAATCCTGTTGTAATCCCAGTTTATCTAAATTCTCTGGTACTCTCATCTTCCCCTCCCCACAAAGCATTCTTCAAAATAAATAAATAAACTGGGTGGTGGTGGCACATGCCTTTTACCCCAGCACTTGGGAGGCAAAGGCAGGCGGATCTCTGTGAGTTTTGAGGCCAGTCTGGTCCACAGAACAAGTGCCAGGACAGCTAGGGCTGTTACAGAGAAACCTGTCTCAAAAAACCAATAAATAAATAAATATGTTTCACATGTGTGCATATACATGTATGTACTCTGCCACACGGTGGTGGCGCACGCCTTTAATCCCAGCACACAGAGGCAGAGGCAGGCGGATCTCTGAATTCAAGGCCAGTCTGATCTATAGAGTGAGTTCCAGGACAGCCAGGGCTACACAGAAAAACCCTGTCTAGAAAAACCAAAAAGAAAAAGCATATCTGACTTCTATGCACAAAGATGTCCCCAAAGCTACGGATGCAGCTGAGGGGCAAAGCACTTGCTTCTGAGACCCTGGGTTCCACGCCAACACTGGGAGAGTGGGGGGGGGACATTCCTGACCATAAATTTAACTTGAAAGACCAGGTGAAAAGTCATTTGGGGGGGAGGGGTAGATGATGGTTCAGTGGTTAAGAACAAACTATCTTCCAGAGGACCCAGGTTCAAGTCCCAGTACCCATCTGTAAACTCACTCCCAGAAGATCATACACTCTCTTCCAGACTTCCTGGACACCACACATGACGTTATACACAGATACACAAACAGGCAAACACCCATACATATACTTTTAATTTTTTTTTAACTTTTTTTTAAAAAAGAAAAGTCATGTTTTTAATCAAGACCTCACTGGCAAGTTCTTTTTTAATGTGATAAATTGAAAATGTGCTTTTAGCAACCATTCCTCCCAAAACTCAATTCAAGTACCAGGGAAGAATAGGAGAGACGGGAGGTCACAGGGTTAGGGAGGTCACAGGGTTAGGGAGGTCACAGGGTTAGGGAGGTGAGGATCCAGGAGTGCTCTGTGGACCTAACAGGGATAAACTTCCTGTTCTTGGGACAGAAAAGGCTTGGCCACTGGCACAGAGGCTCCTCAGGTACACAGAGGTTGGTGCTCAAAGTCAGCCAGGCCTGACTTGATGTCTGAACGTATGTGGTTAAACTTCAGCCAGGCCTCCTCCTAGGGGGAAGAGATGGGTCTGAGACCTTTCCGAGCAACAGGATCCAGTCAGGATTGAGGTTAGTCACAAGAGCTTTCAAGTCTCTGGTGTTAAACTAACCTGAGGCATATCCTGTCACACAGAAAAGGGGGATAGTGAGGCTGAAGAGATGGCTCAGTGGTTAAGAGAACTTGTTTCTCTCACAATAGACCCAGAGTTGGTTCCCAGCACACACATGGTGTCTCATGACTGTCAGTAACTCCAGTTCCAGGGGAATCTGATGTCTTCTTCTAAAACCTCAGTGGGTACCAGGCATGCACATGGTGCACATATATACATGCAGGCAAAAGACTCACATACAAGTAAAACTGATAAAACTTAAAAAAGTTAAAAGAAAAAAAAAAACTAGAGTAATGAAACTTCAGAAGACTGCCGGCATTCAGAAATAAAACCCTCAAAAACATTTGAATTAAGGGTAGGAATTATGAGAACCCGGTTCAAACAGCTCTAGCCTGGCCATAAAGCTCAGTTGAAGGATTTCTTCAAGTTTCTGTGTCTCATACAGGAGGAAATCCAAAGCACATTATCTGGTCCCCAAGGGGAAGAGACACTGCTGGAGGAGATCTGCTCCGCATGGCAGACAAGCACTAACCTGGTGCTGGGAGCAGGCCAACTTCCTGCCTGTCTCCAACAAGCGGCTTGATAGAGCGCGGAAGAGGAATATCAAGTAAGGGCCGGGGGCCAGAAACTGGCAGCAGAGGAGGAGGCTTGCTCACAATGGGGGTGATCTGGCCCTGAAATGAGGCAGGCATGCTGCTGGCTGATGGATCCGGAGCCTTGAATGCTGGAAAAGTAAAAGGAATCAATGGTTAGCAGAGGCCTGCAGTTCAGGCCAGTGAGCCTTTCGGGCTATTCAAGAAAGTTTCACTTCTGCATACTCAAGAAAGCCTTCTTTCCTTTTACTGATTTACAAGGTTCTAAAACGAAAAGAAGCAGAACCGTCATGTTTTAACTTTACAGGTTCCACCCACCCTGAGAAAGTAAGTATAATAATATATAAAACTAAACACTTTCTCTCTTGCCAGATGAACGAGTCATTAAAGCTGTGATGCATTACAGGTATACAGCACAGTAGCTACTTTTCCCTGGAAGGGACAAGTGGTTATTATTTTTGTCTCATACACTTCACTCAAAACAAGCTAACGAGAAACTTACTACTTATTCATTTGTTAGGTTTTAAGACGGGGTTTCTCTATGTCACATTAGCTGTCCTGGAACTCACTCTGTAGATCAGGTTGGTCTCAAACTACAGAGATCTGCCTGCCTCGGCCTCCAAAGTGCCAATATTAAACAAGTGTGCCGCCATGCTCAGCTAGAAAGTCACTACTTTAAAAGGCAAGCTCATAAATGAAATGTTCTTCAAAATCCTCAAGACTAGGAACCATATACATATTTATGCTTACTCCATCCATCAGTGTTGTAAGCATATCAGTGTTAACAAAAATGAAGCCCAGAGACAGGAAGGAGGAACTGACATGTCCATGTGCAGACAGATGTTGTTCTACTTACTACAAATTTGGTTCAGCATATGATACAAAAGTAGAAAGGTAGCCACCAGGGTTCATGGCAGGGTTTAAACAGGATTGAGGTGAGGGGAAGGAGTAACCAAAACTAAGGATGTATGAAAAAGCTATCTGGAAACCTATTAACACTGTAAAGCTAACTTAAAGAAAAAAGGAAAGGGCTGTCAAGATGACTCAGTGGATAAAACACCTGCTGTACAAGCCTGAGTTCATCCCTGGAGCCCACAAAACATGGAAGGAGAGAAGCAACTCCACAAGATTGCTCTCTTATTCCCACATGTATGCTGTGGCACACGCATGCCCTCCACACATCATGCACCTGCACATAACAAATCACTTTTAAAAGTCTGAATGGACATACCCTTGATGGGGAATGTTCTTCGGTGTATATGTTTGCCTTATTAGTTGATGAATAAAGCACTGTTCGCCAATAGGGAAGCAAGATAGGTGGGACTAGGAGTCGAGGAGGATTCTGGGAAATGTAGTAAAGAGAAGTCGCCATGTGATCCAGGCAGGAAGTGATTTGGCAGGGCAGAATCAATATATAAGCAGGGACAAGCAGGAAATCACCCTCTTCTCTTCTCTGCAGACACGCTGAACAGATGTGATGTAGACCCCAATGGGATAAGAGGACCAGACCTTTTCTCCAGTAAGATAAGGCCACGAAGAAATACATGGATTATTAGAAAATGGGTGAATAATTAAGACTGAGCTAGTAAGTAAGAAGCCTTAGCCAACAGCCAACATCTTAATAACAAATACAGCATCTGTGTGTTTCTTTGGGGCAGAGAAGGGTGGTGGGACCCTAGCAGCCTCAGAGGAAAAGTCATACCCTCAATGGTTGGGTAATGCTGCTCCCTAAAGCTACCAGTTATGAAACACAAGTCCCAGTGTTAGGTGTGGGATACCTCCCTGTGTGCTATTGGTTGGGGAGTTTCCAGAGGCTCCCAAAGGGATACAGATCACTGCCACTTCTCTTGGCTGCCTAGCAGTTAAGGTTCTACTGCTGTGGACATACACTGTTGTGTACTGCAGGATGCAGAGAAATCAAGCTAGTACAGACCTTGATGGCTACCTTCCACAGAGCTAGAGGCTGGTGGGATAAAGTCAGCAGCAGTCTTACCCAGTCATGGACACTTGCCTGACCAGCCAGGCAAGATGTGCTCACCCATACTACTAGAGCGGCTTGAAGGTTTTAGGGTAACCAACTGCTTGATGATTGGATTTGAGACCAGCTCTACTGGAAGGAATTCATGACTGATACTGTAAACATGGTCAAAAACCCATGGTGCTGGCTGGGAGGGCATAGGCCTTAGAGAAAACCTGTTGTTTGGCTAAATGGACACGTTGTCAAACTGCCTTCTGAATGTTTACATTTATACTCATCGTTAGTGCTGTTCTCAGTCTTACATGGAGAAGCTTTAGTTAATGCAACCACTCAAAACTGGTGAAGATGAAGGTGGTGAGAATGAGTGAGTGTGGTTGCTCAGCCCTAAATGGGACATCTCTGTATCAATCCTCCCACCCATCCCTCAGGCTCAGGTAGAGTCATGGAGGAGGGGGAAGAAAGAAGGGAAGAGCCGGAGGAAGGGAAATAGTGTTGTGTAGTGCTGTCTTCTCAACACAACATGGCTTTTGCACTCACAGATGCATAGGAGATAGATATGGTTACCCAAACAAGACTGGACCTGTCAACGTTCTATCTTGGATTGAGGAGAGGCTCATGAGGTCCCAACACTTCCCTGAGGAGCTATGGGCAGTTAATGGCTGCTGGAGAGGAAGGGAGCCATTTTATTTCAGTAGTATAGCCACTAGTGAGTTGCTTGTACTCCAATAAATAATCCCACACTCATGCTTAGGCAAACAACCCTAATCAGACTCATCAAGGCACAAAACCAGTCATGAAAGCAGGCAGGGGTCTTGCTGAGAGAAAGATAAGTTCAACAAGACAGACGAGGGGAAGAGAGGGTAATGAGGTATACACGATCAGAATTCATTATGTACATGCATGATATTACCAAAGAGTAAGTCAAAAAATGTATTTTAGGGCCAGTCAATTGATAGCTCAGCCATTAAAGATGTTTGCCACCAAGCCTGATAACCGGGATTTAATCACTTAGACCCACATGGTAGAAAAAAAAACATTTAAACATCTGATTCAAAAGAAACTTTAACCTCAAAAGAAACATTTTAGTCTATAAAGATTAGAAGCTTAAGAGTGCTTTGTATGAAACCCATGCAGACCATCCTTTTGTATCACCCACACACTCACACACACACAAAGATTAGAAGCTTAAGAGTGCTTTGTATGAAACCCATGCAGATCATCCTTTTGTATCATACACACACTCTCTCTCTCTCTCTCTCTCTCTCTCTCTCTCTCTCTGAATGAAAAACATAGTTTTCTTCCACACATAGTTCAGAACTCAGAAGGGAAGGCATAATGCCACGTACCTTGCAGTTGCTCTTTCCTGATTGCCAGGTAGTCCATGATCAGGCCCAGCTCGTCACTGTACAAATGCTTCCCCTCACGCAACAGGAAAAGAAGATGACAAATGCTAGATGGAACAGAGTAACTGGCCAGGTGCTCACGGGCCAGGAAGTCATCCACCAGTTCAGTAGCCCTCTGAGAAATTCCAGCGCTTTGTCCAGTGAAAAATCTCTTCAATTCTTTAACCACCAGAACCAGTGCATCCTCCAGGGGCATATGCCGATGTACTAGAGAGAAAAAAAAAACTGCTTTTTTAAAAAGGGGCCCCCCCCCCCCCCCGCCCTTTATTTTAAAGAAATCTTTATAAAATAAAATAACAAGAAAAGACAAGTCAGAAAACAGACAGCACAACTGCAAGTTGTATCAAAGACTATCTTAGTCTTTGATACAGATGTGATTCTGAATAGAATGGCTAGTACCCTCCACAGCCAGGTGCTCTATTTGATTTCAAAATAGACATTTCTTATTGAAAAATTTATATAAAGGCTAGGCATAGTGGTACATGCTTTTAATTCTAGCACTTGGGAGACAGAGGATCTTTGTGAGAAGCCAGCCTGGTCTACACAGTGAATTCTAGGACAGTCAAAGTTACATAGAGCAGTGGTTCTCAACTTTCCTAATATTGTGACACTTTAGTACAGTTCCTCATGTTGTAGTGACCCCAACCATAGTTATTTTCATTGTTGCCTCATAACTGCAATTTTGCTACTGTTCATGAATCATAATATCAATATCTATATTTTCTGATGGCTTTAGGCAACCCCTGTGAAAGGGCCATTCGACTCCACAGAGGTCTCCACAGGTTGCAAGAACCACTGACATAGAGAGCCTGACCCCCCCCAAAATTTTTAATTAAATATATAAATTATAACTAGCAACAGCTGAAGGAACACATGGGATAAGAATCAATAGAATTCTAATTATTTACTTAGCATATAGGTATGTACGAGATGAGTAGAAAGAGAGTGTGAGGGTCCAGGAGCACGCGCGGCATACACGAGGAGGTCAGGGACAACTTTCCGAAGGCGCTTCCCCCTCTTCTACTTTGTGTTGAGGCAGGGTCTCACGTCTACCACTGTATACTGTATACTCCAGGCTAGCTGGCCCACAAACTTCTGGGTAATCCTCTCTTTACCTCCCACCTTGCCATAAAAAGTACTGGGATACAGATGTGCATCCCAGCAGCTGACTTTTTGTTCCGGGCATCAAACTCAGGTCAGCAGGAATACAGCAAGTACTTTCTTTCACCTACTGAGCAATTTCCCAAGCCCAGAAATTCTTAAAGAAAAGAAACCCAGTTTTTAAAAGACCATATTGTCACATCAAAAAAACAGAAATGAAAGTCAAATGTGATACCTCATTTCTAATCTCAGCGCTTGAGAGGCAAAGATAAGTTCAACATCATTGTAGTCTATTTAGCAAATCTGATGCCAGGGTAGAGTACATGAGACTGTATCTCAAACAAACAAAACTCAGAAACAAGTGGAAGGGACAAGAGAAAATAATGGGGGAGTGAAGATGGCCAAAGTACCTAATAGGCTTGAACAACATCATTATGAGACCTACCTCTGTACAATGACACACAATAATGCAGAAGACGACAGGACAAAAAATGAAAAGTTGAAAGGTGAAGGTGCTCTGTTGGACTATAGCATCAAGATGCAGTACTCAGAAGAAGATGACACCCAGAAGAGATGGGCAGGATTAGGCTTGAAAGGACAGCCCTGGGAGTCCTGAGGGGTTACAGGGTAAGGAACTGTTAGTCTTTGCTACATCCTTCAGAGTGTATTTCTAATCATGTACCTGACAAGTTTGGCTCACAGGGCTTCCAGGCTGGTGCAGCCACATAAGAAGTACCCCCCACCCTCAGTGGTCTTACAGTCTGTGGCAAAGCCCTGTGGGATTTTAGGTCTGGTCAGGAGTACTTTAGAAGAGAAATACTACACAGAAAACATATTCTAGACCTAAAAGTAGCTTCCCCATGCCTTTCTGGCTATAGGCAATATATAAATGTCTTCTAGTCTCTTCCAGGTCTGTCTGGGGAAGATAACTTCATGACAGCTGCCTCTTAGATGGAGTCCCTACCCTGCGTGGCCTGCCATGTATCACCGTGTTCTGAACAAATTCCAAGTCGGGGCTCTTCAGAGCTGCAGGGGCCATGATCATATTTGGCTAAATCTTACACTATGTTTATTAAGGTTACATTTATGAGTATATTACATGTTAGCCTTCAGCTTTAAACTTCACAGTGTGGCTAATTTTAAATACTTGTCTTGGCATAGAAGCCACACACTTACTATAAAGGATCCTGAAAGAGAACAGTTGCAATTGCTTTTACTTTTAATAAAACACAGCTCATCAGAGAAAACAAGGCTCTCTTTTCTTACAATCTGAATTTGATAATTTAGGGATGGCAAATAATGTTCACATTAAAACTATACTGGGGCTGGAGAGATGCTCAGCGGTTGAGAGCACTGGCTGCTCTTCCAGAGGTCCTGAGTTCAATTCCCAGCAACCACATGGTGGTTCACAACCATCTGTAATGAGATCTGGCATACATGCAAGCAGAACACTGTGTACATAATAAATAAATCTTTAAAAAAAAAAACTATTCTGAACATAAAAAATAAATCACCTCCTGATTTCACAACATATTGAAAGTAGATTAAATGCTTTTTGAAATAATGGTGATTTTTTGTTTGTTTCTTCTTGTTTTTTTTCTGAGACAGGGTTTCTCTGTGTATCCTTGGCTGTTCTGGAACTTCCTCTGTAGACCAGGCTGGCCTAGAACTCACAGAGATCTTTCTGCCTCTGCCTTCCAAATGCTGGGATTAAAGGTGTGTACCACCACTGCCTGGAGTAATGGTTTAAAAAAAAATTAAACCCAACAAATATTCTACCTATTTAATGATAACTTCCTAAATGATCTTGCTTGATGTCAACATTTAAGTAACGAAACATAATTAGTCCTTTTCACAACTGGTTCAAATTAAACTTTTCCCAGGAGAGTGGGATTTGTAATTATTGAAAGTGTGTGTTTTTTTACATTTCTAGAACTTATGTGTATAGTAACTGTGATTTTTGCCTCCTAAACTACTGAGTACAGGAAAACCATAATTTTATACTCCCTAGTGTAGAACTGAACAAAAGCTGGCAGGTAGGCAAAAGAGATGCCATGCTCCTGATAAAAGAGCCCTGCCTTCCCATGTCAGAAACAAGAGTTTATTATGTTTCTCCCTTCAGACCCAATGTAACAGTTGAATTTTAGAACATTAACCCTAAATTCACTTCTCTACCAATTCTCGAAGTTGTGCTTCGTTCAAGAGAAAGATCTTCTGACTACGGCTGTGACAAGTGACTCAGAGTCTGCAGGAGAAGCATGCTCAACTACTACTGCTAAGCTGAGCCAAAAATGAAGCCAGGTATACAGAGCCTGGGATACAGGAGACACTTAATGCATCTAGACTGAACAGAATAGTGCAGGGGCTTCTGAAAGAGGACTAGAAAACTCAGTAGGTCTGGGTGAGAGAGAGGCAGGGTATGGAGGATACTCCCATGAGGCTTTCCCCATGTCCAGGAAGAAAAATGCCATTTTCAGCCTCCGACTGCAGAGGACAGGGTCAAGACAGGAACAGAAAGAGCACACTTGACCATAGTGGAGAAGATGAAGGATGTGCTTTGATGTATGCATCTGTCTAAGCTTGTACAATCAGGGAGCAAAAAGGTATCATTTTCACTGGGCAGTGGTGGCACATGCCTTTAATCCCAGCACTTAGGAGGTAGATCTCTAATTCAAGACCTGGTCTATAGAATGAGTTTTATTCTACTCAAGACTACACAGTGAGACTCTGTCTCAAAATCAAACAAACAAACAAAAAAGGGTGTGTGAATTTTCATGTATTCTCATGAATGCTAGAACAAAGAAAATGAGAAAGCATGGAAAAAGTATGCTTAAAAAAAAAAAAAAAAAGAGTTTGGGTCAATGACCCCCAAAGGCCAGAATGTTAAAGCTTTGGTCTCCAGCCACTGTGTTGAGAAGGAGGGTCCACCAGGAGAGTCAGGTCACCAGAGTGCACTCTGGAAAGGGACACTGGGTCTGGTCCCTAGCTCTTGTCTTTCACTCTAATGGTCCAGGTAAGCAGCTTCTCTGACACCACTGCCATGACAGACAGTCTCAGCAGGACCCAGTACCATGTCGCTATATGAACTCAGATGGAAAACTAAGAAACTGGATCACAAAGCTTCTCTCTTTTTAAGTTGATCCCCCCCCACACACACACACATACAGTGAGGGGAAGTAGATTAATACAAAGTTTAAGAGAATTCTTGAGAAAAGAGAGTCTGTGAGACTTAACCATCAAGAATATAAAGGCTAGTGGTAAGATCTGGCCAAAACCTCTACAGATGGCAATCTATTATATAACATCATTGATGGGATATTTTAGGCTCTTTTGTATTTGAGACAGGGTCTACATAGCCCAGACTCCTGGGCTCAAGTGACCCATCCTTCTGCCTCTGCCTCTCAAGTTCTGGAACTAAATGTAGAAGCCCACCATATCTGGCTGTGTGATCCTTACACAGATGCAGTAAAGGTGATTTAGGTTTCAGTTTTCAGCAATACACAGAAAAAGTACTTTCTTCCTCAACTAAAAGCAGTTCAGCTACAAACATAAACCTTCAAAGTATGCCAGCACACAAAGAAAAGGCACCTCGTGTCTAAAGCAGGGTTGTCTCTAGAGATACTTTTAGGACTGACACTTACTTTTGATGGATTCATGAAGCATGATTACGGTACAAGAGGAATATTTCACATTAGATTGCTCCACGAGAATACAAAAGGGGGAACCGTCATCTTTAACATCCTGCAGTGCACGAGTGAGGTCCGATTCCGAG